AAAGCGGAAAATAAAATGGCAGAACATGACAATTGACATTCGACAAGAGATCCACAATCGAGAAATGCGAGAGAAGAAACTGTTAGCATAGAACTTTCGGTTACATCTTGCCATTTCACTTCTAAAATGATGAGACCTTCCTGCGAATCTAATAGTAAGCTTAAATTCATAAAGTCTAGCTGCCATAATGGAAAGTAGTATTTATTTTGAAAATTCAAAAAAAAAAGCACAGCTCCAAAAGTGTGGATAGGAGAAGGCTGGTCTTCAATCTGTCTTATCAGTGGATAAAAGGTTTCCAGTGACTTGACCCAAAGAGTTGTGAGTTCAATACCTGGCTACAGCAAACGTGAGGAATAACTTGAAGATTTGAGTCAAAGGGAAATAACTGATACTGAGATAACCCGAAGAGGCATGGCACTTGGAACTGGAACAATCTACTCCGGTGGACGAAATAAATGATTGAGTACGAAATTCCAATCACCCGAAAAAGGCCGGAGCGTACAACAGCCGAAACGTTGTGAACAGGGCAACGAAGATGAGGTCAGCAGTCCGAACAATGTAAATCGTGTAAATAATATTTTTATTTTTATTTTTATTTTTTATTCGGTAGAGCTGGCTCGGAAATTCATGAAACTGGAAAGAAAGATGCCAGAAGAGAGTTCCACAAGCTAGAAGTGCGAGAAAAGAAACTGTTAGCATAGAACTTTCGGTTACATCTTGTCATTTCACCTCTAAAATGATGAGACCTTGCTGCCAATCTAATACAGTGTTTAACTTCATAAAGTCTAGGTACCCTAAAGAAAAGTAATATTTATTTTGAAAATAGAAGGTCGAAAGCGGGGGTAGGAGAAGGCTGGTCTACAGTTTGTCTTATCTTACACTTATCGAGCCACAATTACTGACCCTAGAAGAAAACACATCCGAACAATTACAATGAAAATATTTATAGAAAACACTCAGGGAAACTACATTATGGCGGTGGAAAAGTGACTGGAGACGAGATGCCAGTTTAGGACCAATAACATTTCAAATCCTTCTTTGGATTTTAACGAGAGCTTAATACTATTTAATTATTCGGACTATTGTACTCATCTTTGTCTCCATATTTATTACAACGTTTCGGACTTTGTACGCTCCGACCTTCTTCAGGTGGTTGGAATGTCGGACTGAACCCTTTATTTCGCTCATTGGGGTAGACTGTTCTTGTTCCACGTGCCATGTTTAATGGATGTCAGTAAGTTAGATCCAGTGACAGGACCCAAAGAGTGTGAGTTCAATACCCGGTTAAGGCAGTGGAGAACTTTCAGAGGGAAATTAACAGGAGATAACTGATAACTGACGTCCATTAAACATGGCACGTGGGACTAGAACAGTCTACCCCAGTGAGCGAAATAAAGGGTTCAGTTCGACATTCCAACCACCTGAAGAAGGCCGGAGCGTACAACGGCCGAAACGTTGTAATAAATATGGCGAGAAAGATGAGGACAATAGCCCAAATAATGTAAATAATGTACATAATACTTCATCTATGAAATATAAACAGATACTGAGAGCTTAATACATATCATAAGCACTAGACCACAATATTTGAGCAAGTGTTAATCTATAAATCTATTCCCCTATGTCCATCATAAAAATTCAGGATCTGGAATTAATATATTCAACACTTCAAATAACTCGTTGTAAGAATAAGACATGATAAATTTAGTAAATGACATAAGGAAATGCGAATTCGAATTCAAGTCGAATCCTTGGGAAAGGTATGAATCCTATTCTTTTCCCCACAGCTATGGGTAAAATAGCAGGACATACCGGGTCCTATAGCCTTGGATGGCAACTGGTCTACCGCAGCAAGAAATGGCAAACTCCTGCGGGGAAAAAACCCGTCTCTTTAGTACTGTATCGAAAGATACATGATTGCCTAAGCTTGTATCACGCATGGCACATAACTGATCATAGCCTGCGCTGGGGTTAGTTTTTTTTCTAAAAGTGTAAGATACTACAAAGTAAACATATTAACCTAAAATCTCTAGTCATGTATTTAAATAACATCGCCAGATTGAGAATTTCATATGGGTACCGTGTAAGGAACTCGACCCTTTCAGTAACGTCCAAACACTGAACTGTATACAACGGCTTTCTCTGGACACTGATGAAACATCGCTTCGAGCAAATGAACAGTTATCGTAAGAACCCCCCACCCTACTTCACACCTCATGGATTGGCGCTACAGAATCATAAAAACCTATAGTAAATAACAGAAACAACATTATCTGAGGACTTTTAACAGCAGCAACAACTGAAAGGGTTATCATGCATAACCCGAAGAGAAAATAAGAACATATTCAAAAAGTTCGCATTCTGCACTACTTCAGACAAAAGGTTAGGAAGGAAACCGCTGTCAGTACTGGAAAGAGCAACAAAGTATGTATTTCAGATATCTATTTTTTTTAGTTCTTACAAGTGAAAGATCTTATTTACAATATTTACATTGTTCGGA